GCGCCAGGTGGGGTGAGAAGAGTAGGGGAAGGGGGCGGGAGAGGGGGGAGGGGAGACGGTCATGAGACACAAAGGTTGGTGGGAAAGTGAAGTTGGCTGACCGCTTGATGACTCTCCCGTGACCTCCAGCAAGCACAGGTATGTCATTGGTGAGCAGGAGGTGGACGGGAGCAGCTTTCCCCTCTGTGGGAGCCAGGAGGTGGAGAGAGGGGAAAGGGGGGAGGTGCTACAGGTATCCTCACCCCCTGACAACCACAGAAGTTATAAGGTGAGACTGTCAGGCTTACAGGTAAAGAAATTATTATGGAAAAACGTGACAGTGTGCATCTACCTACCTGTGTATATCTTGTATGTGTACAGTCTTACACGTGTACCGTTTGACCACATATATACCTCTGTAAAGTGTAACATTTATCAGAGAGAGAGAGAGAGAGAGTACTCCCCCACCGTGTACAAGACCTCCCCAGAGCAACACAATTACTAGCCCCCTGGGGTCGGACACACCCATGAATGATCCAGCAACTGAATGAAGGCTTCACCGCACCAGCCAGCCAACCGCTCCTGAACAATAGTGAATGAATGAGTGATCACCATGAGGAGTGAATGAGTGAGGGGTCACCAGCAGCTATGCATGATTGGATGAGTCAGTGTATAGCTAAAAACGGAACTAACCGCAGACTGTATGACAACACCTGCCTAGTGACGCATCCGCAGCCGATGAATAATGTACGTCATGATGAATGAAACTGTGCCCGAGGCTTGAGTGTATGACCGGATGAATGAACAACCCCTTCATCAATGAATGCTGGAGGCGCCGGATGTGTGAATGACCAGGTGGGAGCATGACCCGTGGCCCGCCATCTTGAAACACCCAGGTGGAAGCAATGAGGGCGCCGCCATGTTGTCACCCCCCCCCTCCCCAGGCTAAAAAAAATAAAAACTATTATGGTAATTAACTTAGTACTAAAAAGAAATGTGCAGATATTACTGAAATTTATTACGTTACATTATCTGTGTTCTATCTCACTCCTCCACCTTACTCTCTTCTCCCCTACTTTTCTTCTCTATATATACCTTACTCTTTATATTCTCTTCTCCTCCTTCTCTCTTTTCCACACTTACTCTCTTCTCCCCCCTACTTTTCTTCTCCCCTTACTCTCTTCTCCCCCTTACTCTCTCTTCTCCCCCCTACTCTTCTCCCCCTTATTCTCTTCTCCTTCTCTTCCCTCACCCCAAATTATTCTCCTCTCCCCATCTTAACCTGACACATTTCTAGATGTCCTAAGGGGGAGAGGGGTCCTGAGGAGGGGGGCAGTGTGTGTGGGGGTGTAGAGGAAGCAGCGTGTGGAGGGTGGGGGAAGGAGTGTGGAGGGGTGGGGGGTAAGGAGTGTGGAGGGTGGGGGAAGGAGTGGGGGGGGGGGTGAGCAGCGTGTGGAGGGGTGATGGAGGTAAGTGTCCTCCCTCTGGCTATCCCGTTGCATCCACTGCCCAACCAACCTGTAATTACCGGGGCAGGAGTGAGGGAGGAATGTGGGGGGGGGGGGTGCGGGTTCACTGCCTCCACCTCCCTATGCTTAAGCTGACCTCCCTCTCCCTGACCCACTCCCCCATGCTTCCTCTGACCCACTACCCATGCTTCCTTTGGCCCACTACCCCATGCTTAAGCTGACCTCTCTATCCCTCTTTCCGCACCCACATCTAGCACGCCCATACGTTTACCACGACCCCATCTACACCGTCACCCACACGTGAGAAGGAATGACACACCCACGTATAGAAGAAAACAAAGAGGAAAAAAACAACAATGATAAAATAATTAAAAAGAGTGGCAGGTGGAGAGTGACGAGATTAAGTGAAATTTCATCGGGAGATCATTCATACAGTCGTTACCATGAGAACGGTACCAAGCAGCAAGGGACCATTGTTGCCAGCTGACGACTGCCTCATATGTGTGTGTGTGTGTGTGTGTGTGATAAAACAAAAGAAAAACAATATGTACTACTAATGTGTGGCACCATTAAGACATATAGCACCAATAATAAATGCAGCCGAGACCCTGAGAGCAGAGAGATCCACGCCTTTAAGTGACCACGATAAGGTTACAGGTACACCAGTGAGGCACCTGTGTTAATTAGTTGTAGAGAACCCCCCATTACCCACCAATAACACTGATAACCCTAACTGCTCACACACGGTCCCCTGATAACAACACATCAGCTGAGAGGAAGGTCAGTGTCACCTCAAATAGGGTCATTTATACATCATCACAGCCTCCTCGTGTTGTGTTGTGTCGTGGGACGGGTTACCTAAGTGAGGGATATAAGCTTGTTTATTCACATCACTTGAGCCTCTATGAAGTTATGTAGACGACACACACACACACACACACACACACGGTTAACTCGGTATTTTTTCCATTTGTTTCCGTCTCTAGAAACACTAAACTTGTATAAAGAAAACAGCAGACCAGACGAGTATCTTATTTACCACAAAGGAAGAAAACGGAGTAGCAACAAGGCTTAGGGGTAACTCCCATAATTTCTCTGACTTCAAAGAAAACGGTAACAGGATGGACTTTCATAGATTATATAAACGCTTTTAGACGATGGTTTAAGGGGTAACTCTTTGAGGACGATGGTTTAAGGGGTAACTCTTTGAGGACGATGGTTTAAGGGGTAACTCTTTGAGGACGATGGTTTAATCTATAACATAATATCCACAAGGGTGAACGATGGCCAAGCTGGAGGAAAGTGACAACAAAGATGGCCACTATACCTGAACCTACGTTGGCCAGCCTGGACTAATTACAGCCTTGGTGTATTAAACATTAACCCAACACAACACCGAACAAAACACTCACTAAACTAAGAGGAATATTCACTACAAATCCCATAACACGGAACTAACGGTATACTAACAATGACCAGTGAAGGAATGTTAGTCGGGTTGTATAAAATATTCCCATTAAATATCTGTGAATATTAAAAAAAAAAATTATAAACAAAAAAAAATGTTTCAAAATCATTCAGGATATTCGACCAGTTGTTGGGATGGAGTTACCTACTGTGGGAGCCAGACGAGTATTACCTCTATGACCTCGTGTAACAAGGTCGAGTTTTGCTGGTTTCTATTGGCAGAGTTTTGGTACCGTAGGGATGTAAGCTATTATTTCCTCTATGTCTCTTTGGTATAAGGGCGTGATATGTGTTGTCATTAACCCAATAAGTATTTAACTGCACGCTATTTCAGGTTCTAGTGTCCTTTACATACGGTCGTTAACCCTGCAGTAATACCCACCTGTGTACTGATCCTTTACCATTTTATTATTATATATGTTTATGATTTGTCTCCATTAACACGTAGAGAAGGAAACTGCTCACGTATATTGGAGAGAACACACAAATATGTATCACACACACAAATATGTATCATACACAAGTCAATACACATATCAACACAGGCAGAGTTGGACTGGTGGTGGAAGAGGATCATCCGACACCCTCACCAGGGGCGGCGTGCTGGGGGGGGAGGCACCACTCACCCCCACCACCAACAGGACCCCGGGGGTATGAATAAAAAAAACTGTTATGACAGAGGCGTCACGACTCTATCAGTGCCTACGACTGGCCATCTCGCTGACTGGTCGAGCGAATGGCTGGCTACCTGCTATATAAATGACTGGCTATATGGATGACTGGTGATCTGACTGGGTGATTACCAGAAGATATGTTATGTAACTGTACCTGTGCCAACGTTAATGACAGCCAATATGCCATGACAGTTAGGTAACAGCTTCTAGATATGGCAGAGATATATATCAACAATGTGCCACCAGGCAGTTACCAAACAACAACACGCGGTCAGCACTGGAGACGCTGGCTGGCTACCCCTTTACACGGTGGTTCCCAATTAGTTTCAACCATTACCTCAAAACAAGCCTGACAACAATACTCATTACCGCGGCATGGGTTTATTTCCACACTATTTTTAGTCAGGTTACTTTCTTCAGTGTCATGATTTATTCTTTGTTTTAATAAATCTTGCTATTTACAAACAATCATGTAATGTTCACTACTCGCATCTTACACTGCCAAGAATACTACACCCAGTAATCTTACGCTGCCACAAGAATGACTAGACCTGTCGTGTTCAGTACGTGAAGCAGACGCGTTTCCGTCGTGGGAGTGTGAGGCAAGATGTACCAACTCTGCCGTATCCAGGACGTGTCTGACGCCAGAATAAGCAGTGGTTGTGTGTGGGATCAAGAAATAGGAAAAATATGGCTTATATCCCATGGGCTGTCGTTACCCCTGAGAAATGTCAAATTACCCCCCTTGAGGGTAATTTGACCCTAATTGGGAACCGCTGCCTTAAGACATGGTAATGACTAAAGCACATACTCAGTTTGTAAAGTTTGACCTTTGACCTCCGCTAATTGGTGATATATATATATATATATATATATATATATATATATATATATATATATATATATATATATATATATATATGTCAACCATCAATATATCTCCATCGAAACTAATCCAACACCTACACAGACGGACGTACGGACAGTCAAACCCATATAACGATCCGTTTTTATCCCCTCCACACACACACACACACACACACACACACACACACACACACACACCGCTGGATAAAGATCAAGATCACAGTGATTTTGATAATGACGGTAGGGAGGAGGAGTGCTACACACATAAATGGTGGTGATCACTCCAGTATGCCTTAAACGAGTCATTCTGGATGTGAGACGTGAAGTAGAGATTGACCTCATGGGTCACTGGTCAAAAATGGGTCCCCAGTCCTATCTGTAAATCTGTCCTAAAGGGTCCTAATGGGGTCCAGTCTTAATGAGGCCAAGCAAGTCCCAGTGGGCCTTAGTTGAAATGAGATCCAACCACCGCAATAAAAAAATAAATAAAAAACAATAATTATTTTAAGAAAACAATAATAACTGTAAGGTGCACTGTACTCACCATCCGTCGTGTGGTGCCGTAGTGTCGTGTAGTGCCGTAGTGTCGTGTAGTGCCGTAGTGTCGTGTCACCATTAGTGTTCCCAACAGGTAGACGAAGCCAGGCAGCAGCAGCAGCAGTTACGATTCCATCCTTACGCGGTAACTTTTAATTCCCTGATGCACCATTTCACCACCACACAGCACAAAGCACAACACCGCCCTTTGTTATATAATACATAATACAATTTCTGCCCTTCCCCCGTTTTTTTTAATAATTTTCTAACATTGCGTTTTCTTTGTATTCCATTTTCTTTCTTGTGTTGAAATTTTTTTTAGTTAGGTGCTGGAGTTCAGACGAGAATCTGAAAAGAGTAAAAACATACACAGTCAGAACAAGCATTACTATACCACAATATATAAAAAAAATTATCACCTCCCCCAAAAAACTTACAATTTGGTGTTAAAAAAAAAAGTTGGTCTCTGGTTTACAATGTACTTGACCGTGGCAAGATGATATAATAATTATCATTTAAAGCTTTAATTATAGAGTAAAATGTAATGCAATTAGACCTTTTTATTCCTAGTTAAATTGAAATACACATCAAAGTAATTGCTACTATAATACTCTGTAGGATTTTTTGTAGCAGAACAAACACAGGAATTAATTAGACTGTGATTGAGGCCAGCGATCACACTTGTTATGACCACTGTTACTTTCTCTAAAGAATTTAACTATCTATCTAGTCTGTCTGTCTGTGTCTTGTTCACCTTCTGTCGTTTGTATGTGTCTTGTTAACCTGTCTGTCTTGTTCACCTTCTGTCTGTCTGTATGTCTTGTTCACCTGTCTGTCTGTGTCTTGTTCACCTTCTGTCGTCTGTATGTGTCTTGTTCACCTGTCTGTCTTGTTCACCTTCTGTCTGTATGTATGTCTTGTTCACCTGTCTGTCTGTGTCTTGTTCACCTGTCTGTCTGTCTGTCTATCTGTTGGTCTATTGAGTCTTTATGTAAGTTTGTTGACTATTTGTCTCCCTATTGGTCTGTTTAATCTTTGTCTGTCTGTTAATCTATTGAACCTTTTACTTTCTGTCTATTAGTCAATCTAGGCCTCTCTCTCTCTCTCTCTCTCTCTCTCTCTCTCTCTCTCTCTCTCTCTCTCTCTCTCTCTCTCTCTCTCTCTCAACCGATAATTCACACATTAAATCAAAATACATAAAACATTTTTCACCAAACCACAGCTTCACTAGTTGGGTGCTGTGTGTCTGTCTGTTTGTCCGAGTGTATGTGTGTTTGTCCGTGTCTGTGTTTGTCCGTGTGTCTGTGTTTATCCGTGTGTCTGTGTTTATTCGCTTGTGTCTGTCTGTCCGCGTATCTATCTGTCTGTGTGTCCATTACTAACCATCAGAAAAACATCGACAAGCAGCCATGGCATTCAACCCTACGTGGTGTGCTGATAAGATCACAACGAGACCCCCGGGCAAACGTTCAGTAAACCAGCATATTTCTTCCTCATTACAGACACGAGTTATGGTCCTTTCTGCCCTTGTTGTGGCGCGGCGGGGCAATTGTCCGTCTTGTATTGTTCACTTGTATACACACCCCCCAGCCACCTGCTCCTCCCACTTATCTAGGTGGTAGTGGAGGCCAGGTGGTGAAGGAGGGTGTCAGGTGGTGAAGGAGGGTGTCAGGTGGTGAAGGAGGGTGTCAGGTGGTGAAGGAGGGTGTCAGGTGGTGAAGGAGGGTGCCAGGTGGTGAAGGAGGGTGTCAGGTGGTGAAGGAGGGTGTCAGGTGGTGGTGGAGGGTGTCAGGTGGTGAAGGAGGGTGCCAGGTGGTGAGGAGGAGGGTGTCAGGTGGTGAGAAGGGAGGAAGGGAGGGTGTCAGGTGGTGAGGGAAGGAGGGTGGAAACCAAGTGGAGGGAGTCAGGTGGTGGAGGGAAGGAGGGAGGAGAGCTCGGCACGACACTCCCAGCTACCATTATTTCCAAAATAGAGCGAGTGGCTGCCGGTCACCATGGTTACCTCTCATTACCCACATATCTCCCTCCCTCCCTCTCGAACTCTCCTCCTCCCTCCCTTGCTTCTTCCTCTCACTTCTTTTACCTTATCTCCCTTCCTCGATTCTTCCCCCACCCTTCTCCCTGTCCTCTCTCCCTCCGACACCCATCTCTAGTTTTCCCCCAGATCTCAAACTAACCCCCTTCTCCCTCACCCTTCCTCCCACCTTCAATTTCTCTCCGTCTGAAAATTCTAAGGCTACAGCTCAATTCATTTCAGAGTGACTGCCCCCAAGAGAATAAAAAATTTACCATGACTGACTTGAGAAATTACTCTATGGATTTCAGATAGTTTACGTAACCTAACCTGTGTGATGATTAACAAGCCTACATGACCTGACCTGACTTGACCTGTAAGATGACCAATGAGCACAGGTAAAATTTTGGTCAAGATTAAACAATAAATAAATAGGAAATAAAATAAAAATAAAATATAAAATAAATATAAAACTAATAAAACTAAATAAATAAATAAAACATTATATATAAATTAAAATAATTCCTTGACCCTGACCGACAACTGGGCATAAATTTTCACATTATATAAAAATATATATATATGATTATGTTTAGTTTTGTCACCTAAGAGGAAAGGTTTATGGTCGGGTTAAGTTTGGTTAGGTTAGGAGTCCTCAATGCTAGGTTTCTACGACGCCTACATCCTCCCTACCAAAACTACCACCACCAGCACTGTCACATCACCACCATCACCCCGCCACCGCTCCCACTATCACACCACACCACCACTATGACCAACCCACCACCGGCAACAGCAACATGAGACAGGCCAGCAGCAGACAACACTCGAGTGGGAATGAGTGTTATGAGTGGTGAGTGAGTAATAGAGTGGTGGGAGATCATGAGTGGGGTGAGGACAGGGCAGCCTACCACCACTTGCGCCTACACCCTCTCTCGCTTTTTCCCGCGGAAGTTACGATCAAAGGAAAAAATAATAAAAAAACAGATACATACATACACACAGAGCCAGAACTAGCCTCGTTATTGAGTACAGTACCAACGTCTAAACTCTTACTATCGGGGTTTACATGAGCCAGACACACAAGCAACGTTGTTCGTAGGAGGTAGCGATATATCCCTACAGTTTCCGGCCATATAGACGGGTCGGTGAGCGATCAAAACATCCTTAACGAAGTCAGAACACAAAAAACAGCGTCAACAGTCGACGGTTTTTTTATACCTGCTAGGTCGTTCACCAGAGGGAGCCCCAACGTTCGCCAGACGACACAATAACACTGTTTATCACACCTCCGCCAGACGCAACCACCCAACTTACCAACAGGCCGACCAGGACTCTCAATACACAGCCCTGACACTGTAGTAGGCACAGTGGATGTGTTTATCAGGAGCGGATACTCAACATAAACAAAGGAGCAGCGAGCGCCATGGTTGCCACACAGTCATTATTAATATCTTCCTACAGTCCAGTCTGGAGCTTTTCAAGGCTAGTCGTGATGCCGGGACTAAAAGCTTCAGTTAAGCTTGATGATTTATTTAACGCTGTGTCATCACATAATGGCTGCCCATATAAACTGATGAGGCCAACGAGTGACGATATAAAGCTATTCTGGAGCTACCAGTCAATATAATGTTAACCCTTACTGATGTAGCCCGGAGCCCTGCTGTCTGGATGTGTGTGTGTGTTGTAGTGTGGTGGAGGACTGTAGTGGCGTGTTGTGTTGTAGTGTGGTGCAGGGATGATGTGGTGGTGTGTTGTGTTGTAGTGTGGTGCAGGGATGATGTGGTGGTGTGTTGTGTTGTAGTGTGGAGCAGGGATGGAGTGTTGTGTTGTAGTGTGGTGCAGGGGTGGTGTGGTGGTGATGATGCAATAGCGTTGTATGGCATGGTGGTGGTGTTGTGTTGGTGATGCGGTACGGCTGGGTGTTAAGGCGATAGTGGTGGTAACTGTGGTGGCAGAGTTTAGCAGCGTTAATGGTGACAAGTTGATGATGTTGATGATAATGAAGACATGGGGTAATTAGTGTGGTGGCGCGATGGTGATAGTGGGGGGAGATGATTATGGGTGGTAGTGGTATTCATGGTAGTGGGGTGGTGGTACTGATAATGGGGGTTTGGTGGTGGTAGTGATGGTAGTGGGTTGGTGGTGGTAGTGATGGTAGTGGGTTGGTGGTGGTGGTAATAGGGGGTGATGGTAGTGGATGGTGGTGGTGGTGGTAGTAGTAGTGATTATGTTAGTAAGATGGAGACATAGGTGCCCATGCCAGGGTGGTAGTGGGCTGGGCCTAACCCACAATGGGTGCCGCTTCTCCCTACCACAAGGCGGCCAAGTGGCGAGGGGCCTATTAATTTTTGCTAAAGTGACAACCTCAGGCCCTTGCATGTGGCTCACAGCTGGTGGTGGTGTGGTGTGGTTGTGGTGGTGTGGTGGTGTTGTGGTGTGGTGGTATGGTAGTGGTGTGGTGTAATGTTTTGTTGTGTTGGCATCACTCTTGGCACTGTTGTTGTCACTGAGTAACTAGTTGAATGGCACTCTTTACTCATAAGGACACTTAATTACACGGTGCCATCCAATAGCTTAGTTGTGATTGGTGTGTGTGCGAGAGAGAGAGAGAGAGAGAGAAAGAGAGAGCAGCTGTGTAGGGGGGTCGAACGAGAGAGGACGAGGAAAAGATTACGAAAGACAGAAAATCAACAAGAAAGATAAAGCATCGGGCTAGAGTGAAGATACGGAAGATGAACTGATGATGTAAAAGGGAGATTATATAAAACATCAAACGTGTACAAGGAAGAGGAAGAATGATGATGAGGAGGAGGAGGAGCAGGAGGGAAGCCTAACCTTAACCCTAACCTACTTTAACCCTAAACATGTGGAGGTTGACAGTGTAACAGGAGGCCCAGGTCTTAATATACTTAATGTTTGTGCCTACGGTTCCATACGGATACGCAGTGGCCCCTCAAGGTACGATTACACCCGCCTGGGGCTTGACTGTCCCGTACTGCTGCTGTTAAGGATACGGTCATTGGTCCCGTATGTTGGGATTCTTGCCTCACCGTACCGTGTGGCTATGGTATGGTGTGGGGGTTGGTGGTACAGTATATGATGGTAGAGGGGAGTATTACAACGGTTATTGATGGTACAGAAGGTACTGTACCCCAGGTATAGAAAGGTACAGTATGCATAGTTATCGTGGTAGTAAGGTACAGTAAGGGTTGGAAAAAGGCCAAACAATAGGAAATAAAGGTAGAAACGTCATAAGGCTGAAAAATAGCCCAAAAAATCGTAAAATACCGCCACTCGACAAATGTAATTACTGTGCTATTTTTTTCTCACT